AGTTCAATTTCAAGCACCTCTAGAGAAGTTTCCATTCCTTTATGCTTCTCAGCTCCTGAATTTCCTTGTGTGGTTTTTTTTTTTTTGGTTTTGTTTTGTTTTTACATTTTAGTCTCTTAACTGGTATCTTCAGTTTGATGACATATTGCCCTGGTGTATCTTTTTAATTCATTTTTCTTTTTATATTTAAACTATTTTTTTTATTTTACAGAAAAAGAATAACAATAAAATAGAGTTTTGAAACAGGTTAGTAGGCGAGTTACAATAGTATCTTGTGTATTGTTCTTTATAGTAGTTATTCAGAGTATAAGATACATGCATGATATCTTGTCCAATCTATATTAGCACAAATCTTTCTTTTCAGTGAACAGAAACCAGCTGTATAACTGTCTTGTGTATAAATATATTTTTTCTTTTTCCTTTCTTCCTTTGCCTTTTCCCCCATCACAGTTTGTCTTTGCTTTTGAACAGTTTTTCCCAATTCACAATATCTGTTTTACATTTTGGATTTTATTTCTTTAAATATATTCTGAATAGATGATTGGAGGCCTTTGCTGCTGAACAGCTCACTTTCTGGGCTTCTTCAAGGCAGTTTCCTGTGCCTGTGTTTTTTTTTTTTTTTCTTCCTGAGCATGGGTCACTTTTTCTTAGTCCCTTGAGTATCTTCTAATATTTTCCTGATAACTTGACATTTTCAATAATATATTGTAAGATCTCTGGATACTGAGCCCGTAGGGAAGATGATTTTGTGTTTCTGCTTGGTAATATATTTATGCTTAGTAACTCGACTTAGCAAATTCTGTACCATCTTTTGCCTGTGCCATTTGTTGATATCCCTGTTGAGATTGCCATTTTCTTTTTGTTTATTTTTTATCTGAGATACCTAGGATATCTTTGGTGTGGATAATGATGTATGAAAGCTGGAGGGCTGTGAAAAGAGAAAAACTAACAAAATTTGCTTGACAGGACTTTTATTCTAATTGATCAGTTGGAAAATTAGTTCAGTAAATATTTAATAGGCAATGTGTGAAAACTCTCAGAGGGTCTATCTCTGTTCTTATCATAGATTAACAAGTGGCAGATTTGTGAGTGATAACAAAGTCAAAACATTTCTTTGCCCTAATCCATTTCCATGACATAGAAGTTAAAGGACTTCAAGTCTTTTTTTTTTTTAAATTTATGTCTATTTTCTGGGACTAGAAGTATCTGATACAATTCAGCCTCATCATTTGGTGCCATTCAGACTTCTCCCTTTATGGTGATAAGTCTCTGTGTGATTGTGGGAATACTGTTAGGTCTTCCTCACATGCTGCCCTGAGTGAGCACAGTCAGTCCATTGTCAGACCCTTTCTGACCCGCGAGCTGATCATGGTCACAGAAAGACTCTACAGCTGTCTCTTTCCTTGGTTCATTCTGTTCAGTTTCTGGATTCTCTGCAACTTTGGTTGCATCAGGATAACCACGTTTCTTGTAATTGCTCTCCAAAAAGATCTTCATTGTTTGTGACAATATTCTTAAACAGTTCCCTATTATCCGTTACAAATAATGTCAGCTTCCTGAGGCAGAGCGAAGGGGCTCTTCACCCTTAGGCCTCCTTTCTTCCTCGCTGGAAACATTGCATCACTGCACCACGTTTCTTTAAGGGAAGAAACGTGGGTTTCCCAGAGACATTTCTAGTCTTCTTACTCCGTGTCCTTAGCTTGACAGATCTTGATCATTGTGGCTTGTCCTTTGAGTGTGCCTGGCTTCCAAATGTACTGCGGCACACACAGGTGATGGGGTAATACCCTCCACAACTCCTGTACTACAGGTAGTTAAGATCCTGCCCATCCCGAGGCAGAATTAGATCTTTTTTCTTGCCTCTAACTATCTTGGGCATAGCTTTTGTAATGTGGAGCTATAAGATTGATGTGAGCAAGAGAATGATCTTGGAAAATGCCACCTTTTCCCTAGTATTTTTTTTCCCCTCATATTTAGTAGTTTTCCTTGAATGAATTTTTATGCACTTTTCATGTAGCCTTAGGACACTTCCAGACATTAAATGATTGTTTTTTTAAATAATTGTCATCAGATTTTTTTTCTCAAGAAAAATCCTAATAGGATTTTTAAACTGTTCCTTTAAGAAATACTGTAGTAGGTCATTTTTATTCTTACATGTAAGTAGCTCCTAGTTTATATTCTTTCCAAACTCTGCCCAAATTATTTAAAATTTAACAACTGTTGGTTCCAAGATCCAAGTATAAATTTCTTTCAGTTTCTTTTGTTTAGTTAATACTGTTGAAGAATCATGGGCCTTCAGTCTCCTAATCTTCAGTATCCAATAGGAAAATATTTACTACTAACGCGACACTGATCCAGTTGGCATTTATATATCTCAAGAATTGATTGTTCTATGTATTTTTACTAAGTTGTAGTTCTGCAATGTGCTTGCCTCAGTGCACAGACAGATTATGAGAACATAAATTTCTAGGTCTCAGAAATCAGACATGTCTCTTCCTCGTACAGCTGGTTGCATAGTGTCATAAAATAAAGTCAATGCTAAATGCCTGATTTAGGTGGCAACAAAGTTTGGGCTAAAATATAGCATTAGGGAATGGCAAGAATCTTTAATGTGATGCCAGAAGAATTAATCTCAAGAATAAAAGATTCACTATAGAAAAAATCAGCATCCTCCTACAAAATATAGTAAGATCACTCACTGGTAACTATTCATTAAACATGGAAATAAGATTGTTCTGTATTATTTACAGTGTTACCATGATTTTCAGATAAAAACTAATTGGAAAGGGTTTCTGAAAACTATTAAAATATAGCAAGATAAAGAAATGCTATTCATCACAGTGTTTTCAATAATATATAGCTTTCAAGAAAACAATAGAAATCAGCATATGCTCTCCACAATCTGTTTCCTGCCTTTGCACACAATTTGAGATTATAAAAAATGTCAAACTATTAGAAACTATGTACTGAGCAAAACTCAGATCAAATATTCCACACGTTTTGAAACAACTTATCCATTATTGATCAAACACTGCTTCATTTAAAAATTTATGACATTTTAGAAAAGACGTTAAACTCAAAGAGAAACTCCAAGTTAGACGTCACACAATTGTAGCTTAGGGTAAGTCATATAAGTCTCAGTCGTATTTTCATGATTGTACTAGTACTTGTTGAATCTAATTCACAGGATTATTCTGAGAACTAAATGAATCTTATGTGAAAGATATTAAGAGTCCAAAAATATTAAACAAGTCTTAGGTTTTATTCACTACCAAAATATACTGCCTTAAGATATATGAAAATATTAGAGCTCTGAAAAATATTCTTATTTTTTTTCAAAGAAATTAACTTTTATTTGAATGGAGACTACTTCCCCCCACACGTATGGTGCAAGGACTCTAATACTATATAATAGCCCGCTTAAGCAATGTGCCAATACCATTAACAGTAAATTATACAATTGCTCTAGGTAATAAATAAGGGTTTTCTTTCACTGATTAAGGGAATACCTAAAACTTCAATAATTTTAATGCAAAAATCACATTTTAAGTTTGTAAAGTTTAACATATATTTAAAATACAACATGTTTCGATGGCATCAACAAATTTTTCATCTCTAATAACTGACTTAATTTTAGGATTCAAAAATTACATTCTTCAAAAGAAATGTCCAAGTGTTTTCTTCTAAAGCTCTGAACTTTCTACACTCAACTATGTGACTGTTCCATGCCATCCCAGACAAACCGGACATGACTGAACTATTTCATATTACTATCGTCCCTAAAACAATGTTAAAAAAACAAAAATGAGTTGTAATAAATGCAGATCTCCAATACAATGTCTAGTTCTTAATGGATAAACCCTTGGCCTCAGGATAATAATAGCAAAGTCAACATTCATTGGAGGATACTTCTAAAAAAACAATTGCATGCATAAGAAGAGGAGCTAGAGGCAAAGTATCTAGGGCCAGAAGCATCACTGCATTGCTCTGTCCACAGCGGAGCAGGATTTGGCAGAGGATAAGGAAGAGACATGGCTCTGTGTACAGACTCCTGCGGGATATGTGACATTTCTGTTCATTACTCTTCTGCTGGATAGGTGTGATGACTAGTGTGGTCTGGGAGTCTCTGGGGAGGAAGATGAGAAAGACATGGTCCAGGACCTTTGATATATTGGAATAAAGTAAATATCAGCATAATGTAAGGCTCTATCAGAGGACTATGGGAGAGTAAGTGGTTAGGGCATGCTTTGACAAGTTTTGCTGCTTGAAGATTTTCACAGTGACGGTTTCAGAAAGGCAGAGAGTTGTTCATTTCCTGGAGGAATGAGATGTTTTCACACCATTTCCTCTACAGATCAGTTCCATAATTAAGAAGGACAGTGTGTCAACAGTACATTAATTATGGCAGTGATTAATAGTGTCTTCGAATGTCATGTATGTTTTCTTGCAATTGTCTCAATAATTCAGTTATGATCATTTCATTTTAGAGCTGAGAACGATCAAACAGCTAATAGATGGTGAGCTAGAATTCAAGCATCAATCATGTCTAATTCTGAATTTCACATTCCTTTGTTTACATTCTGGATTCTCAATTACTAATCTTAGGACCAGAGTTTCTTCATGTCACAATTTTTACTGGTTTACTGAGTATCAGAAGAATTCAGGACTGTATGGCATATAAATCTTGATTGCAACATTAAAACTTGGAAATTGCATATCTGCTCTTCCTTGTTAGATTTTAAATTTCTAAGTAATGAAATTCAAACATGTTTAAATCATACCACCTTCATTAGTAAGTGAATAAACCAACATTAAGTGCTCATAACGTAACATCTCTCAAAAATACCAATCAGATCTGAGAGCCGAGTTTTTCTTTTATACCCAAATATTTAAGATATTTATAATCTTAAAATCTACCGAAGTAAGAAATGCATAAAAAGATGTGAGGAAAGCTTAGCAGAAAGTCTTATTTGAGAAGTATTGATATTTAAAGGACTCACAATTGCAGGGGGAACTTTCACTAATTGTGAGACCAGAAGCAACCCGCCGCAGCAGATGTCCTTTGAGGAAAAAGGCCCCCCTTCCTTTTCATTGGAGCACACCGCAGCATTTCCTGGGGATCTTTCCATGAATTCATCTTCTTTGTGTGCTTTCACTGGGGCGCTCATCCAATTTGTGGCTGAAAATATTAGAGTGGTTGCTTAGAAACGCTGAAGTTGGAAATTTATGAGTTTTCAGAAGGTTGCCTTGCAGTATAGGGATAGCATATGGTGAGCTGACATGTTTTGTTCCCCAGCCAAGGCAAGGGGTAGCTTTCTGTGATCTCGCTAATTATTTCATGGCACTTTAAGCAGCCAAACTGATTTTAGAAAACTGCAAGACATCAAGGCAAAAGAAAAATAGAATGTACTTTTTCTTTCCAGTATTTCCGACTGAGGTATTTGTTGTTCACTTAAAAAATTAATTAAAACGTGTTTGGAAATCGAAGAGAGAAGAGGCATGTTATCTAAAAGATAGAATAAAAGGCTAATTACTTTGGCTTGAGTAGAAAGAAAGAATGTATGCTAATGTGAAAAGGAAAAGGCAGTCATGAAATAAAGATATTTCAGAAGGAAGAGTTTTAGTCCTGAAGGTAAATAGCAGCATATTAAAATTTATTTAATAACTATGTATTGGAAAAGAATTAAATCTTCATTCAACACCCCGGGAGGATTGTGGAAGTAGGAAATGGAATCAAAGAAGACAAGCACAAATTTGTAATTAAAAAATGATAAAGAAATTAAAAATTGTAATTTGTAGGTCCCTAGTTGTAATTATGCTATCAAAATTTGCATTAGGGAAAACTGAAAAATTCGAATGAATGAAATGAATCACCTGCTCATTTTCTCATTTTAAAAATGTTCGCTAAAAACTGACTCATGATTCTAAGAATATTAGATTTTGCAATAAATGTAACACACCACATAAGCAGAAACAAGGAAAAAAATTATATGAATGCCTCAATAGAGACAGTAAAACACACGGCAAATTCCAACATATATCCTTGATAAAAAGCCCCCCAAAATAGGTATGTCTTTATTTCAATTTGATAAGTCGACTATAAAAAACATCATATTAAATGGTGAGAAGCTGAATACTTTCCCTGAAAATCAAGAACAATAAAAGGACATCCACTGTCACCTTTATTGTTCAATATAGTTTTAGAAAGATTATCTAGAGAAATCAGGCAAGAGAAAAAAATAAAAGTGAGATTCATAGAAAAGGAAGAAATTAAATTATCATTATTTTCTGATGACAAAATTCTCTACATAGAAGACTTAAGAAAATTCACCAAAATCTCCTGCAATCAACAACTAAATTTAGTAGCACAGTAAGATACAATGTTAGCACTCAAAAATCAATAACATTATTGTACCCAAATAATAAACTCACTAAAGAGAATTTAGGGAAGTAATATATTTCACGATAACATCAAATAAAATGAAATATCTAGGAATCAAGAAAGTGATTCCAAAAAAGTGAAAGATCCTTTCAATGAAACTTACATTACTCTGAAAAAGAAGATGGAGGAGGATATCAGAGAATGGAATAATATCAGTTTGTGGATAGGCTAAATCAATATAGTCAAAATAGCTATATTTTCAAAACTATTATACAGATTAAATGCAATGCAATCTCAATCAAAATATCAATAGCATTCATCACAGAACTAGAGAAACCTAAAATTAATATGAAACCAGAAGGAACCTTTAATAGCAAAGGCAATTATGGGTGTGATGGTTTGTGTGTAGATGTCCCCCAAAGCTTCTTGCAGTCATACATCAGAGAACTTTCCACAGATGGCTGCAGCTAGAGTGTGTGGTGCTGGGTTAACGGTGTGTGATTATTAAATCAGTCCACTGATTGGTTTAATATAGTTCTGGCTGGAATTAAGAGTGTGAGTGCTTTACTTCCACTAAGGCACATAAACTGTATAAAATATAAGGACAAAAAGAGGGCTAATGTTCCACTTGCCTTGCTGATTGCAATGGACTATTTCTCCTCCGTGATGCCCTTCTGCCATGCAACCGTTTCTTGGAGCCAGCTGATTATTAACTGAAACCTCTAAAATCTCTCCTAACTTGTAGGTGATTAGGGATTTTGTTACAACAATGAGAAAAGTAACTAAGATACTGGGCAAGAATGGAAAGGTAGGAGGCATCACAAATTGGATTTAAATTATACTACCCAGCTGTAGTGATTAAAAACAACATGGTATTGGCAAAAATAAAAACAGAAACAAACAAAAAACTAAGCATAGACTTGCAAATCAATGAATCAGGATAGAAGATGCATAAATAACTCTAGGCACATTCAGCTGCCTTCTCTCTGACAAAAGGGCCAAATACTTTCACTGAAAGAAAAGTAGCCTCTAAAAAATGGTGCTGGGAAAACTGGCTATCCTCAGGCCAAAAATTAACTGGTGACCCATATATCGTACCATGTACTAACTTAATGGATCAAAGACCAAAATATTGAAGTATAAACAATCTACTGAAAACAACATAATGAAAAGGTTATAATGGAAGGGTTATAAACAGGTAAGTAGAAGTATTTTAGACAACCACACAGGGCTAGGTCCTCAAATAAATCAGTGTAGATAATGAGAAAACATTAAAGTTGTGACTGGAGGTGCATTTGTTGAAGGCCTGAGCCTCGGGATAAAGATGGAATGACTCCATCTACATACTTCCACAAGGAATAAATAATAATGACCAATATTCTAAATAGGCATTATTCACCTGGGTGGGTGAATTCCTTGCAGCACATCCTTTACAGGAAAAAGCCTTGTTCTTCCCACGTACACTTGCTCTGTGCCTTCCTTCTCTATTGGCCCAATATCATTTCAGCAGCTATACTTGTAAACTTATTGTTTGCCCATAGTTTTGTCCCATCTTATGTCCACGTTATGATTTTGGACCCATTGCTCCTCAGAATTCATTCTTAGGTTCTGGGAACATGAGCTTTGTGTATTGGACATCTAGCAGGTTGGGAATTATAATATTTTTCTCATATCAATTGGAGGTCCTATATCATTCCTGTGTCAAAAGACCCCAGTTTCTAAAAAGAATCCCAGTTGCATAAGAAATAAAATCAAGAATAAACTAATGGGTTCACATCAAACTTCTGCATTGCAAATGAAATCACCTGCAGGGTGAAGAGATAATCCACAAAAAAGGATACCAGCTATATCTCAAACAAAGCACTAATATATAATATATAAAGAAATCCCCAAATTAAACCCCCCCAAATTTAGAGACTCAATTAAAAATAGCCATCTGAAATGAATATATACTTCTCAGATGAAGAAATACAAATGGTCAATAGATACATCAACACATGCCCAACACTCGTGGACATTAAAGAAATGTAAATTAAAACTGTATTGAAATTTTATCACGCTCCAGAAAGAATGTATATTGTCAAACAATCTTATAATAACAAATGCTAGAGAAACTGCAGGGAAAAAGAACCCATTTTCACTGTTGGTGGACATGTAAACTAGTCAAGCACTATGGAGTTTCCTCAAGATACTAAACATAGGAATTCCTTTTGATACTAGGTCTCTTCCTGAAAGGGTTCAAGAAATTATATTACAAATATGCATGCATGCCCTTATTTATAGTAGGATAATTCATAGTAACTACATCTTGGAAACACCCTGTATATCCATCAACAGTTGAATGGATGAAGAAAATGTGGTATTTATGCACAGTGGAGTAGTACTCTACCATAAAGAAGGATAAGCTTGAATAATTTGTAGGAAAATGAAGGCACCTTGCGAAAATAATAAAGTAAATCAGATGCACAAGCTTAAATATTGACTGTTTTCGCTTATGTGAAAACCACAATATACAAATACAGTACAAAGTAAAGAATAGATGGTAGGGGAAATAACAAAATGGATCTTTGGGATATGGATAAAATTAAAGTAGCAAATCTAATATATAACAAGTGTATTCAGTAAATGTATCAGAAAATATAATCCTAAAAATATTAAAGATATAGGTTATGAGAAATGTTATGTATTTGCTGAGTGTATACACCATGCATTTTTGGAAAATGTAAAGTCCTACCACGCATTATTTAACTTGTAAAGCAATGATTGCAAGAATGAGAAATATAGATGAATTCTCTACAGTAGAGAATCCAGAAAGAAATGTGGAAGGATGACTGGCCTGCGGGTAAGTCCACGGAGACCCTAGAGGGAGAGTGGGGATGAAAAGGTAACAAGAGACACAAAGAGCGGAGACAAGTTGAGGAATTCCAATCAAGTCTCGTTTATTCACGGAAGGAGTAACAAATATATAGGGTACTGGGGAGGAGGGATTTGGGTGCTGAGACATCAGCAGGTAACTTAGCAACAGTGGCAAGACCCAGGTTTTATAGGTCAGTTCAAATTTCCCGCCTGCGGGCTCATAAGGCGGGCTGATTAAGATAATTCCTGAATAGGCCAATCAAGCTAGGTAGGCGAGGTGCTGCTTAACTACCAAACTTAACTCCTAGAGGGAGTTAAGGTGGTGCGGGCTGCAGATGTTAAGGTGGCAGCCAATTACAGGGCTTCCCCCAGAAGGAGAGAGTGTCAAATGAAAAGGAAAATTGCTTCTGTGATTTTTCTATAAATGCGTATTTGTATTTCAAGAAGAGCTGAGTTGAATAACCTATAATTATTCTGATTAGTATGAGGTTCATCAAAGAAAAACAACTAAAAAGAAAATTTTTACATACACTAATATTTTCTATTTTAGGAGCTTTATTTTTTTCTCTAGTTTTGAGACTAAATTTCAGTGAATTCCCAGGATTTGTAAAAGTTTACAACTCCATGAATGTAACTATGAATAAGTATAAGTCACACGACAGAATCATAACAGTCTCTTATACATGTAAATAAGAAGGGTTAGTGTTTGATCTATTCTATTGAATAGTAATGATCAATGCATTCTTTCCTAGATTAACAATGAGCAATAGAAAGCTCATAAATTTACAAAAATGATGCCAGCCAATATTTGATTTTACTTTGGCAGAGTAAAACCAGAATGAATATCTGATCTCTAATGATGTTTCAGCCTCTGATCATCTCATCCAAATCGTCTAAGCAGACCATATTTAATTCCTT